GTTTTTATCGGTCAGATTCCACCTTGAAAAATGTCTGTTTTATCCCTTTTTATCAGTTTTTGGCCATTGACTATCTTTAAATCGCTGCTTCAACAGTCGGCTCTGGAAGCGATAGCTTTTTTCTTTTTTTTTTTTTCTTCTTTTTGTGAAGCGAGTGGTTGAAGCAAATGGAGCATAAGAGCCCCCTGGTGGCTGAAGAAAAAAAATCCACGTACAAGCCGCATCGGACTATAAGCTGCATGGTTCAAAGTTCAGGAAAAAAGTTGCAGCTTATAGTCCGAAAAATACGGTAAATGCAAACTTTTGAGTCAACCATTTATTGCAGTTTATGCGAGTGTTGATGTGCATGTTGCACAGGTTATTATCACGATGACGATAAATTTTCAATATATTGTGCAGCCCTACTGCAGGCTTTGTTGGATCCATACCTGCAGCATGTCTCTTTTCTTTTTTTTATTAAAACAAGTGTTTTTTTTTTTTTGTGTGTGTCTGTTGATATGAAATGATTTTTCAACCATTCACCCTGCAGATCTACAGAATGTTAACATCACGCTACGTATCCTGTTCCGGCCGGTGACGACTCAGTTGCCTCGTATTTTCACCAGCATCGGTGAGGACTACGACGAGAGGGTGCTACCGTCCATCACCACAGAGGTCTTAAAGTCCGTAGTTGTGAGTATGAAGCTGTAATAAACTAGTTTTTCCTTCTTTATATTAAAAGAAATGAAAGGGTTGAGTCAAACTGCCTGGCTGTTTCCTGTTTCTCCCAGGCTCGCTTTGATGCTGGCGAGCTGATCACTCAGAGGGAGCTGGTGTCCCGGCAGGTCAGTGAGGATCTCACAGAAAGAGCTTCCACCTTCGGCCTCATCTTGGATGACGTATCACTGGTATGAAGCTGCTTTTTAAAAATATTTTTCTATTTTTTATTGGTTTCTAACATCAATAAACGAATTCATGGTGTTCTTTCAGACACATTTGACCTTTGGCAAAGAATTCACAGAGGCTGTTGAGATGAAACAGGTGGCCCAGCAGGAAGCTGAGAGAGCCCGTTTRGTTGTGGAAAAGGTAACATTTCAAACTTTTTTTTTCTGCGCTTTTACTTTGAAAAGTCGAAACCGAAACAAGTAATTTTTCCGTTTCATTCTTGTAGGCGGAGCAACTGAAGCAGGCGGCAATCATCTCAGCAGAGGGAGARTCTACGGCTGCTCTGCTCATCGCCAACTCCCTGATGGAGGCTGGCGATGGTCTGGTGGAGCTCCGGAAGCTGGAGGCCGCCGAGGACATTGCCCTCCAGCTCTCACGCTCTCGTAARGTCACTTACCTGCCCTCCGGACAGGGCACGTTGCTCCAGCTGCCTCAGTGATCGCTCCCCCATGTGTCCCGCTCCGAAACACGACCCGTAGAGGCTGGAAGATCCAATTTATTTCCTATCGTCACGTACATTCCTCCCACTCTTCGTCAAACCACCGCTGGACTGTGCTCTGCTGATAGCAGTACTCTGAGAGATAAGAGTGAGAGGTTTGTGGTTTAAAAAAAAAGTTCACCTTTTTGTATAGAAGAGGGGGTTTGAATATTTACGCTCATGTAATATTATCACCATCACTTCAGAATGAGAGCACTGCATGTGTGAAAGCAAATAGTGTCAGATTCCTGTAAGAAAATGTCGTCGTCGTGCTGAAAGTTTAATCTAATTGTAACAAATCTAAAGATGATTTCTCCGTGACTAACGTTGCCACCTTGTATTAATTGGAACGTGCCTTTCTGACAGTAGAGGATCTTTTGTTCTTTACAGTTGTTGCTTTCTTTATTTTCTGACATCATAAGCTTCAGGATTCAGAAATGGCTCAACTAAATAAAAATATCTTTCTACCTCCCAGTTGTCTTGTCAGTGATTGTTTGAAATATTGAATCAGATATTTGGTTTTACAGCGAGTCACCCTCTTTCCTTTCACTCTGTCCTCTCTAATTACATCCATATATCTCAAAGTCACTGCGGGGTATGCCGTCATGGTCAGATACAAGCCCTGAAAGTGAGTAACAACTCAGGCTGTTGATACAGCAGGTAAAATAAGTATTGAACACGTCACCATTTTTCTCAGTAAATATATTACTAGAGGTGCTAATGACATGAAATTTTCACCAGATGTTGGTAACAACCCAAGTGATCCATACATACGAAGAAATCAAACCATAAATGACCAGAAATGAAGTTATTTGTAATAATGTGGAATGGCACAGGGAAAAAGTATTGAACACACTTACTGAAATTTATCTAATACTTTGTACAAAAGCCTTTGTTGTCAATGACAGCTTCAAGACGCCTCCTGTATGGAGAAACTAGTGGCATGCATTGTTCAGGTGTGATTTTGGCCCATTCTTCCACAAACAGTCTTCAAATCTTGAAGGTTTTGTGGACCTCTTCTATGAACTCTGATCTTTAGTTCTTTCCATAGATTTTCTGTTGGATTCAGGTCAGGTGATTGGCTGGGCCATTCCAGCAGCTTTAGTTTCTTTCTCTGAAACCAACTGAGAGTTTCCTTGGCTTTGTGTTTGGGCTCATTGTCTTGCTGAAATGTCCAGCCACGTTTCATCTTCATCATCCTGGTAGATGGAAGCAGATTTTTATCAAGAATGTCTCTGTACATTTTTCCACTCATCCTTCCTTCAATTATTTGAAGTTTGCCAGTACCATATGCTGAAAAACAGCCCCACACCATGATGTTCCCACCTCCAAACTTCACTGTTGGTATGGTGTTTTTGGGCTGATGTGCAGTGCCATTTGACCTCCAAACATGATGTGTATTCTGGCATCCAAACAGTTCAATGTTGGTCTCATCTGACCAGACTATATTCTCCCAGTATTWCACAGGCTTGTTTAAATGTTGTGCAGCAAACTTTAAAGGAGCTTCAACATGCTGTTTCTTCAGCAGTGGAGTCTTGCGTGGTGAGCGTGCATACAGGCCATGGTGGTTCAGTGCATTACTTATTGTTTTCTTTGAAACAATCGTACCTGCTAATTCCAGGTCTTTCTGAAGCTCTCCACAAGTGGTCCTTGGCTCTTGGACAACTCTTCTGATAATTCTTTTCACTCCTCTGTCAGAAATCTTGTGAGGAGCACCTGGTCGTGGTCGGTTTATGGTGAAATAATGTTCTTTCCACTTCTGAATTATGGCCCCAACAGTGCTCACTGGAACCTTCAGAAGTTTAGACATTCTTCTGTAACCGATGCCATCATTATGCTTTGCAACAATAAGGTTGTGAAGGTCTTGAGAGAGCTCTTCACTTTTACCCATCATCAGATGGTTCTTGTGTGATACCTGGCCATCATTTGGGACTGAACCAGRTGATATTAACTTGCACTGACAAGGGGCATGCTTGCTTTCTAATTACTGAGAGAGTTCAGCTGGTGTCTTGGCTTTCCATGCCTTTTTACACCTCCCTTTCTTCATGTGTTTAATATTTTTCCCCTGTGCCATTCCTCATTATTACAAACAACTTCATTTCTGGACATTTATGGTTTGATTTCTTTGTATGTATGGATCACTTGGGTTGTTACCYACATCTGGTGAAAATTTCATGTCATTAGCACCTCTAGTAATATATTTACTGAGAAAAATGGTGACGTGTTCAATACTTATTTTACCCGCTGTATTTTGTGTTCATTTGGAGTCTGTTGCTCATGTTTTGTATGGATCTGTTCCTCTTCTGTCATTTTTGTGCGTTTTGCATTAGTTTTAAGGGGTGGAGTGGCAGTTGCCTTTTTTGTCACTAATAGTGGGCTAGGTGATATATTTTTGTGCATTTTGAACATTTTTGCCTTTCGACTTGACAAACAACCGGCCGAAGCAACTCACTCATTACTGAGGACAAGCTCTGTCAATCTAAATACTGAGGTTCAAAAGTCAAGATTAAATTCCAAATCTCATAAAAAAGTTATGATTTAAAAAGAAACTAGCTACATAAATTGGTTTCCCTTCACAGGGACTTTAACTCCCTCACTGTCCTCCCATTATGATTTCATTAATCAAACAGGACGGGCGCGCGCCTTGAAGTTCTGTCGGGTTTGGAGATGAGAGGAATCCGGTGCCAGACGCTGAGCGGTGCGCGCGCCCGGCTGTCCACACAGCGGCCTGGACTGGAGGGCTGGGATGAGCGCGGGAGTCGGGACGGTGGTGGTGATGAGGCCGAGCCACGTACCAGCAGGGCTGTGAGAGGAGCCCCGCACAACAACAACAACATTTTACAAACAAAGCTGCCATCGCGTGGAGGGGAGGGCGAGACGAGAAGAAGAAGTCCACCCGTGAATCTGTGCAACTCTGATTGCAGGGAGGTCGCTCTCGAACGGAGGTAAGCCCGTGAACCGACCACAAAATGTCGCTGTATTGACGGATTTGATGCGCTTACTTAGCCGAGGGAGAGGCGCTCTCACCCGGACCGCCGGAAGCCGGGTGGCCGGTGCTGCTAACGCCGACTTTCGGTGACAGAGTCGAGTTGAGTGGGTTTGCCACCACAGCAGCAGACAGTCTGGCTTTTTTTATTTATTTATTTATTAGGACAGCGGTGCCCCGACAAGACAGACACGCCGAAAACAAAGCGTGAAAACGGCTTCATGTTTAGCCTCAAACAGCCCCCGGTAGCTGTCACGCACGCGCCCCCCTCATCGAAAATTAAACAAGCTAAARATTTTTGACGTGAACGCTAGCTTTTAAGCTAGCTAGCTACGCTCTGGGCGGTATGGGGTTAAAAAAAGTGAAAGTGCATGTAGCTGATATTAGTTGTGATGTCAGCAAATGCTAGCCTTTTAGATGGAATGCAAAGTTGTGTTATCCTTTTGCAGGTAAGGTGGCCGAACAGCTGCACCTTAAGCTAATGTAGCCAAGTTAGCCTGTCATATGTGTTGAGCTTAAAGACTGCAGCTAACAGGCTAAGTAGCCTAAGTTGGCCAGGCCTGTAAAACATTGCTGGTATTTGTTGAACAATGTTGACTTTGGATTCAGTGTTAAACCAAAAAAAAAAAAAAGTTGCTTTTCTAAAACCAGTTTGTGTTCTTTTATATATAAAATCCCCATTCGAGCTTATTTCACATCACTATGTTTTAAACATAAAATTCAAACCAGAGCACTCTGACAGGTTTTGGAAATGCCTCATTTTTGTGCAGAAGCAAAGCTGTGATTTTTTTTTTTTTACTCTCCCACTTATTCATTGCTAACCCAGATGATTTGCACAGGCTGAACCAAAAATGCCCCGTGCATTACTCTATGACCCGATTAAGGGCTTGAAGGGCCAAACACTAACAGAGGCATGAAGCCCCCCTGCAGTGAGCTGGTTAAGGTCTTATGAGTTTGGACAGAGAGAGGAATGTGAACCTTAACACCTCTGCAGAGCTCAGAAATCTCATTAGACTCCAAACCTGACAGGCTTCATGGATTTGAGTAGCGCTTGCATATTAAAAGGTAAAAAGGACAGTATTTTGTCACATATGACTCATCTACCTGAGCAAGTGGCTTGTGAAACTACAGTCCTCTTATTTTTTGTGTGTGTGGTGTAGTGCCTTTGCTCTCACTCCCTTCCTGTGTCATATAGATCTAAACCACAGCAACATATATCCGTTAAATGACTGGTTTCGTGGGTAACTTTACACAGAATTAGTTTGGATTTCTCAGCACGGCTGTTTTTTTAGTAAAGTTTTATAATTTATGCAGGAGGAACAGATTTCTCCACATATTAACAAGTGTTAAAATGGATGATCTGTTTTTATTATTATTATTATTATTGTCAAACTTTGTTATTCTTTCAAAGCTTCCCAAATTAAAATTGATCACACAGCACACTATATTAGTTTTCACTTCCAGATTTGTCAGGTTGATTGTGTTAACTAATCGCCACTGATATTGAGAGTTCTTTACGCGTCACGTTTCCCACATCAAACGACTTCATCATTTCACAGAGTGAAACCATGAAATGACTCGTCTCTGATTTTGATAAGAGTGGAAGGTTTTTTTTTTTTGGTTGCTACTTTTAATTTACAGATGTTTTACGGTTTGTTTATATGTTTCAGTTTTAGGTTTTGTTTTATTTTGGCACGCAGACAAAGGTAGAGCGTTAATGTGTGTTTGCACTGTTTTCCCACAAACAACTGAAATGATTTTAATGAAACTTTCAGAAAGTAATCATTGGAGGTACATAGAGCTGCCACGATTAATCAACGACTAATCGATTATTAAAATAATCGATGACTAATTTAATAATCGATTAATCATTTTCTTTTTTTGATGTTCTTTACTTTGTTTTTCTCTCCAAACTGCTTTGACACCTTCCACTGCCACATCTGCCTTTCTGTCCTTGACACACATGCACAGTAGTGGTAACTGGGGTAGGCRGTGGACGTCACAAGACATTATACAGACAGGCTCTGGTATCATGGCTACCTGACAGCAGAGCTCAAAGTGTGGGATCATTTTAAGAAAATGAAAGAGAAACCTGTGTAATATCTGCAGAGCAGAACTTGCCTTCCACAGCAATTATTTTTAGTTAGCATATAGCTAAAATCTAACGGTTATATAATAGCAGCTGCATTCTGACGTGATAAGCTGTATGTTTTATATTCAATTAACGTATGATCTGATTAGTCGACTAATCGAATAAGTAATCGGTGATTAATCGATTATTAAAATAATCGTTTGTGGCAGCCCTAGAGGTACATCAAAACGTCAGCCAGACACAAGTACACCGCCACAACTAATCAACATTATGAAACCACAAAAATGTCTATAACTCAGTGAATTTTACAGGTTTTGAGCTGAAACCTGGTGTGGTTGTAGCTGAAACTGATCCCTAACTTGTACTCTGAGCTCAAATCTTTTGTGCAAAATCTGTGTAAAATATCTCATGAATAACTTAGTGGATTTGAATTGCATTGCATCTCCATCTTGTAGGTTGTACACAAACTACATATAATAGGTTACTTTCAGGCCCAGGTCTCCCTTGCAAAAAGAGATCTGTGATTTCAATGGGATTTACCTGGTTAAATAAAGGTAAATAAAATCTAAAGCTGATTATTTCAAGTTCAAGATGGCTGACACATTCAATTTACCTTAAAAAAAAAACACAGTATTAGCTACATAATTCAATCAATTTTACTAGGGATGTCCCGATCCAGATTTTTTGACGCCTGATACAATCAGATTTTTTTAATGATTAGTCTTTCCGATACCGATCCAAGAGCTTTATTTCTTTATTTGTTTCCAAGTGACAGGTTGGTAGTAAAGCGAGCCCTGCTGTTCCCACCAAGAAAAGCAACCAGTTTGCAGGTTTTGCGAGATGCAGTTTCAGCATCATTGTTTTCCATTGAAAAGTGTTCCCACACTGTGGACATGGTTGCAAACTTGTGTGCTTCTTGACTTCTTATCGGCAGTTGTAAAGCACAATGATGCTGAAAACTGGATCGGCCCGATCACATGACTAAATCCGATTCTACCCGATTTTCAAAAAAATGGCCAAATCTGCCACCGATCTGATCGGGACATCCCTAAATTTTACAGAGTTGCACAAGATTCTAATTTAGAAAATCTCAGTATAAACAGCACACCATGCATTACATGCAGAAACCTGATTAAATTCTMCTTATTTTTATGCGATCAGAAGAACACTGAACAACAGTGAAAAATACATTTCACATTTTCTTAACAGCATTCATCAAGGCTTAATTAAAAATCAACGTAGTGCTTTTTAAAATCGATACAGTATCAGGAAACAAAACATCACCATATTAACGTGTATTAATATTTTCTTACACCGCAAAAAAACCTGCATATATAAAACCCAAACTCGAGACGAGGAGTGTTAAGCCTTTGTTATTCTTTTATGCAGTTGTTTGTGTTGCTTTGTGTGTTTGAATGAAACAAAGGCACCAGCTGATTGCATGTAACCTTTCCTGCAGGTAATTCTGCGCCGTCATCTCGACAGTGGATAATCTGTTAGGCTTTGTGTCTAGGACAACTTTGAGTGTCGAGTTGCTCCCTCCCCCTGTGGTCTTACTGCTGTGAGAACTGCTGGATGGTTCTTGGAGATCAGAGTCGGCGTGCCGTTTTTTTTTTTTTTGTTTTTTTTTTCACATGAACATAAAGTTAAAGTCTGCATAAACTGCTTATTTTGAGTGTTTGCAAAATAAGAGTAAACAGATTTGTTTGTTCCACTTGCATCCGCTGTCATTGCTGCATGTTTAGCTTTGTCTTAAGACAAAGCATTTGAGAGYATTTCTAGGATTAAAGCAGTAAAGAGACGAATATCATCTACAGACTATTATAAGCACAAAATSTCTGGGCTGCAGGTGCCAGAGTCGCTCCTTGCTCATGTTGTCTTTATATCAAACAAATTGCTGTTTGTTTAACTGTAAGATGTTTGTGTCGAGGGGAAAAAAAATTGCAATCTCCAAGAAAGGAAATGCACTTTTTGTGTACCGCTGTGGGAGGTTTTCGAGCGAAGAAACCGCTGCGTGATGCACGCTCAGCATGACTAGTAAAGGTGTCAGGCTGTTTGAGGTCAACCAGCTGTCGGCCCGGAGCATCTCAGCAGGTACGTACGCAGGCCCAGGACCTCGATCGGTGCTGAAACTCGAAAGCAAAAAATAGATTTTTGATTTTTTTTTTTCAGTTTTTATTATTTATACAAGTGCTAAAATGTTAGGTTGCAAAACATGTAGCACATAAGCTCTGCTGACACGTTGACATACAATTTCCTGTGGTTGTATTTGCAGTAGAAGCTCCTGAGCTGCGGTTACACTACGCTCTCTAACAGTCAATGGGAGATGCACTCACTTGTGATGTTTAAGACCAAAAATCGTGCTTTAATCCGTAACTCTCCGGTTCTTTATGCAAAGATGTAGATTTCTGGAAAGTGCTCAGATTTTTTTTTCAACGGTCTCTTGCGTTGAAGCACAAATTAATCTGTGATTAAGGTAAGTTTTAATGTTTATGATCAAAAATTTAAGATTATAGATGTGATTAAATCTGTTTATGCACAGTCCAGTCAGCTGCTAACTCC